GAGAGTATCTCGTTTACTCGTTTATCATTCTCATTCGTACGCTTTCCCCTACATCAATTATACAATGCCAACTCAAATCCTAAATGGTGTCATCCAATTAATTTTCCATTTCAACCTGCTCTTCACTTTGATCCAACAAATAGAGATTATCATCCTCATGACGATCAGCAACCTCGCATTCTTGATCCAGTTAATGGATTCTCCTTCCAGAATCTTTTGAATGCTTCAATGTGTAATACTAAAACTCGTGATGGAACCAAAGAACGAAAGAAGAGATAAAAAGATACTCAAAATCATACCAACTCTCAATCTTCGATTGCAAAAAGGACTGGTCAAAAGTAGAAGAGACTGCATTAACAAAAGCATGGTTATATGTTTCTGAGGATGCTAAAGTTGGTAACAATCAAAAGGGAGCAGCTATGTGGGATTGTATTTTATAAGCTTAGAAAGAGAATATGGGGATTACAGGCAATACGGCTCGAAATAACAACAGTCTGCAACTCAAACGGTCCAAAATACAATTTGCAGTGAGCAAGTTTCATGCTCAGTATGAGCGTTTGGAACGACATCCACAAAGTGGTTCGAACTCAAATGATTTGGTACGTATGTTTTTTTATAATTTAATTTCTACTTATATTTATCAGGGATGAATTTTTAATATTTATTTGTTTAAAAAAAAATGATCATTTAAATTTTTCTTATGTAGAAAATAAATGCTATGCGATCTATGAAGATTTTGTGGGTGCTCCATTTAAATTTATCCATTGTTGGGAAGTTCTGATTAAAAATCCTAAATGGTGCTCCAAAGAGCTTACAAAGACGGCTGCAGGATAAACAAGAAAATGAGCACAGTAAACCTACAATGGTCAATCAACTAGAAGGTAGTATTAATGATTGTGATGTTCTTTTTGATTGTACTAAAGTTGATGGCCTTGAGCGTCCGCAAGGAAGAAAGCATGTAAAGAGAGAAAAAGAAAACTGAATGAGGAAAAACGTGTGGCAGATGCATTGAGCAAGTTGCATTGCACATTAGAGAAACAAGTAACAAATCAAGCAACTTTGGAGATGAAAAGAGAAAAAGATGCAAAAGAACTACAACTACGGGGGGAGGGGGAGGGG